AGACATTTGGACAGGGTCTTGACCACAATTATCCTTTAAGGGTTAGCTGTGGCTCTGCTGGTTCACAAGACAGAAACCAAAAAGCTGGGCAAAGTTTTGTGTTTTAATCCAACAAGACCTACAACAAACTTTTAGTGGCAAATACAGACAGCTTCTCTTTCTACATGAAAAGCTACTAGTGTATATGTTGCATTTTCTTTCAGCCCTGCTAGCTGTGGGAAGAGGGGGACTGGACAAAGGAGTCCACAATGAAAGCCTCAATATGTTCCCTTGGTTCAGGGAGCCTACACTCTTTCCAGAAACCTCATACCCAGGGCATCTAAGAACCCTAGGGTCCTAGCTCATTTAACCCACTGGCAGGCATCACCATTTGCCCTCCTTGACCTTCATGTTCCAGGCAAGGAAGGAGGCACCAGAGACTTGAGGCTAGCAAAGCCTGTTAGGCAAATAGCAACCCCTGTCTACATGCGCTCTTCAAAATGTTACTTTAACAATCTTCCCACTGAGTGTCAGGCTCCTCTGTGCCTCTTCACCTTGAAACTGAGCAGGCTGCAGTTACTTTCTTAGCCAACTAAGAGTATGTCAAAAGTGATACCAGGTGAGGGGAGTTTACTACCACCTTCAGAATGATTGCTCCAAGGCCACCAAGTTGTGAGGAAGCTCAAACTAACACACATAGGAAGTCAGCACAGTTCCTGTAGCAGAAAGTTTTATTGTTATTAATAATAAAAACTTAAGAGTTAGATGGTGGGGTTAATGCTGAAGATCAGAGAAGCAAATCATTCAGTCACTAGAGAGTTCTTACCTCTACGTGGTCAGACCAAAGGGTGATCCTGCCCTCAGACTGCACTGTTCCTCAGACTACATCTCTCTCTCTCTCTTGTCTCCTCCTGTTTATATGCCTCTCTCTGCCCAGCCACATCATTCTGTTTCCACCTCCTTAGTTCTGGGATTAAGCAGATGGGATCCCAAGTACTAGGATCCCCTTTATGTGAGCTCTGTTTCTCTTTTAGACTGGATCAATCTCTTGTAGCTCAGGGTGGCCTTGAACTAACAGAGATCCGTCTGCCTCTGTCTGCCAAATGTTGGGACTAAAGGTGTGTGCCACCACTGCCTGGCCTCTATGGCTAACTAGTGTGTTTAGCTTTGCACTCTGATCTTCAGGCAAACTTTACTTGTTAGATCATAAACAAAATATCACCACAAGTTCCCTCCTCCACACCCCCCCCCCCCGGGAGGGATAGGGCAAAGCTTGCCTTAGAGACAGGCAACCTGTTGTACCCACAGCTTCCCTAGTCCTTCACTGCTTTACTTCTAGCCACTGATTGTCTAGAATTCCATGAAAGGCTACAAGCCAGCATTGCCTACCCAGGTTCTACCCAAATCCCTCACCTATAGAAGCCATGAAAGATCCTGGAATGACTGCTGTGTTAAGCAACTATGTTTGGGGGTTTGTTATATCGCCTGTGGGTTTGGAAGCTAGAAGGACTGTGAAGAAAGGGAGCCCAAAGTGAAAGGGAGCTGCAGAGATTTTTACAAGGAGATAAAGCTTAAATGAGGGCAAGCATCTGAGGAGAGGTGCTTTGGAAGGGCCAACAGAGGTTATCATCTAAAGATGGTAATGCTGCCAAGTGAATGGGGAAGACTCAGGTTTGGAGATGACACCCTGAGTTCCTTTCTGGCCTTTGCTGTCCACTGTTTGTGGCTTGAGATAAACCCCTTCTCCCAAGAGGACATTCTAGGAATTAATATATTGTTATGGAAATATAGGCGGTAAAAGAATGTGTCCCTGGGCCCCCAGGAGACCCCTTTCTGTGATGTGCTTGTTCTCATGTGAACCCTCCCACTAGAAGTTGTACTGCTTGGTTGGAACTAGTCCCTGACCCATTTGGCAGTTCTGCTCCTGACAGCAAATAAGTGCATTGGCATTTGGCATTCCTCCTAATGCATCCATCTGATTCCCTCATGGGGATACTTGACCTGCACATATGAGGACAAAGCCTCAGACTAGGGTGACCAAAATATGACTTCCTCATGGGACCCTGCCAGAAAATGACCAACTAATGGACCTTATGACACAAAGCAAAAACATTCTTCTCCCCATCCAAAAACATGGAGAAGAGGAAAACGCCAGCAATTCCTGTGAGACAAGGGAGGGGTCAGAACATGAAAATTGTTGGAACAAGAAGAGGTAACGGAGGGCATCAAGAAACCTGTCACCACACTGCTTTTATTTTATTATTTTTACAGGGTCTCACATATATCTATCTGGCCTCAAATTCCTTATGTAGCTGAGGATGACTTTGAACCCCTGATCCTCCTGCCTCCATCTCCTAGGTGTTGGGATTACAGGCATGTGTTGTCATGCCCAGTTCTATGTTGCCCTGGGAAATGAACCTAGGGCTTCTAAATGCTGATCCAGCAGTCTGATAACTGAACAATATGCCCAGCACCCACACTGCTCTTCAACTGGTTCCCGTTTGCCATTTTCTGGACAAAACCTTGGTCTGTACATGCTAAAAAGAAGACAGGTAATAAATGTAGTGAGTTTAAAACAAAACCAGTCAAACAGGTCCTTCATGTAGTGTTCTTGATGTAAAATATTCAGCACAGACAATTCAAAGCGAAACCATAGTTGAAGTTGTCTGTCACACTTAGATTATGATGCCACATTGTTCATAGACCTTGGTTGCTGATCATCTATAGTCAGTAAACATGAATTAATTAAATGACAAGTCTACTAGTATCCAGAAAGAATATAATTTTAAACCACAGAAAAAGAATAATATAAAGTTTTAGTTTTTGTTTTTGTTGTTTGTGTGTGTGTGTGTGTGTGTGTGTGAGTGTAAGTGTGAGTGTGTGTGTGTGTTTTGCAGTGCTGAGGATTGACCTCAGGGCCTCATACTTGCTAAGCAAGCTCTCTACCACTGAGCTATAGCCCCAGCTTCCAAAAGTTCAGTTCTAACTTTTGTCTTTTCTGTTGCAATTCAGTCTCCAACACCAGAGAAGGGATGGGGGTGGGAGGAGACAGGGATGACCCTTTATAACATTTATTTATTTATTTATTTATTGTATGTTGTGTGGGGGCACTCACATGGAGGCCAGAGGACAATTTTCAGGAATCAGTTCTCTCTGTCACAGTATAAATCCTGATGGCTGATCTCAGCTGATCAGGCTAGGCAGCAGGCATCTTTACCTACTGAGCCATTCCCAGACAAATACTATTATTTTCACATCCAAATATTGCAAGTGAGTCTAGGTCTCTGTAGTTCCACTGGGGGTGATAATATATCTGGTAATTACTGTTTTTGTTCTGTTAAAGGTTTTTTTTTTTTTTTTTTTTTTTTTTTTTTTTGGTTTTTGTTTTAGATAGGGTTTCATTGTGTATGTAGCTCAAGCTAGTCCCAAACTTATCTGCCTCAGCTTCTTTATTATTGAGCTTATAGGAGTCCCATCACAGTCAGCTTGACAAATTGTTGATCTACTTTCTCACAGAAGTGAGAAAAGTGAAGCCATTACCGAAGACCTAGCCAGACACACCTCCAATATTCCAAGCCATCTGGCAGAGCTGCCAGGAACAGAGTGCTTCTGTTTCCTGTTGGGCCTCGATATGTATTTAATGATTAGTCCATTCACAGGCTGCTGTAGGAACTTGCTGGCTGTCCTTACAGGCTGCGCCAACCCTCCTTACAGACTCACGATAGTCAAAGTTCTTCCACGGCAAACACTCTCACAAGAGAAGATGAAAAAGAAAGGCTGTTTTGTGGTGGAATGGGGTCCCCATGACTGGGGATGCTCAAGTCTATGGCATTATAGGAAGACACCTGCTAGGATGAGGAAGTTCCTTGCAGCTCTAAGACTCTGTAATGTAATCTACTTGTAATCACCACAGAGAAAGAAGATGTTGGGAAGTATTGGGTCATGAGACAGACTGTATTTAAAGCCCACTGTGATAAAGGAGTCCCTCAGGATCCTGAGAGTTGACAGCTCTTTTGGAGCCAAAGAACAAAGACAATTTATAATTCCTGTCTATCACAAATACTCAATTCTCTAATCCCATTGTGTCAGGAGTATGGCTGAGACTTCCGACAACAGACATGTAGGTGCCCTCCTAAGAGGGAAAGCTGCAGTCACTAACTGGAGTGGGGTGGTAGATGACTTCTTTTTGCTCTGAAAATGAAAGTTTTTAGTCAGTTACATGTGTTTTTCCTCACAGCTCAAAAATTACGCAATGTTCAGCAAAATCTGGAAGCAGACACTGACAGTTTTAGCCTTTCTCAAGATTCTCTCAGAACTTGACAAAATTTAATTCAAAATCTACAAACTCCAGAAAATATAAAGCAGGAATTTTCTTCTTGAGATGCATGTATTAATTGGTTTAGGATTCATATTATACTCTATTTATAATGGAAACATTACTCACCCACCCACTATCTGAGCTGATTTTCTAGCAAATGGATTGGTCCTACTGGTACCTAGTACCACACATTTACAGTATCACTTAGATTGGGTTCAAGTTCATGACTGTCAAGAAAAGATAAGCTCCCTGCCCACCCAGCTTCTGAGCTTGATCCAGTTTCGCTGATATTTGCTATGATTTGCTATAGTAACCAGTAAACTAGGGATAGAAAATGATCTTTCAAGACTATGCTGTCAGCTCTATGACATGGGGTCATACCTATCTTTTTCATGGCTGCCTCCCATGAGTTGGTATGGTATTAAAGCACAACAGACATCTGGTACAGGTTTAATGAATGGATTTATTGTTTATGCCATCATATCTCCTGCTTCTCCTCCCCTCTTTCCTTATTTCAAGTCCTTTTATCCAAAGGCACCTACCTACTTTTAAAGATTTCATATTCTGAGAAATGTATTTTTAAGGAGGACATTCATATCATTGGGATAGAAAAATGGCTGTGAAAATGGGAAAATTAACAGACAGTTTCTCTATAGAGGGGGGAAATTGTTCCAGGTCCTCCAACATGAGAGTCGATCCATTGCTAAATGGACTCACATGGCAGATACAGTAAGGAGACCACAGGGATCCCCAACAGCCCTTCATGCCTCTCATGTCCTGACCTTCTTCTCCAGGTCAGAACCCATCTCCAGCCAGGACAATGGTAAGGGTTATGGTTCTAGAGATCACGCTCACCACTGGAAGAATGTTTTCTGATTCTGTAAGCAAAGGATAAAAATCTCCAAATTTCTTCTCCCATCTGCATCAACTGTGTCACTGTGATCATCAGGAAGCGCCACCATCATCTTGGTTCCTTCTCCACATGTTCCTATGCTATCTCCTATTTATTTGCTTATTTAGTCCCAAGACAGGGTTTCTCTGTGTAGCCCTGCCTATCCTGGAATTTGCTCTGTAGACCAGGCTGGCCTCAAACTCAGAGATCTGCCTGCTTCTGCCTCCTGAGCACTGGGATTAAAGGTGTGTACCACCAATTTTTAATACAATAAGCAATTTGTAATATAGTAAGCAGAAACAGGTATGATCTATACAAGTGATAGCTGCTTGAGGTTCTCAGTAATTCCTAAGAGTATGGAAGAACGTGGGTGGGAACTAAACACTGAGAAATACTGATTGAAAAGAACCATGTTGGATCTGGAGAGATAACTCAGCTCACTTAAGAGCAGTTTTTGCTCTTAAAGAGGGCCTGAGTTCAGTTTCCAGCTCCTACTTGGGATAGTTCACAGCCACCTGCAACTCCAGCTCCAAGGGATCTGATGCCCTCTTCTAAACTCCTTTGCACCTACATTCACACACACATACCCACACACAGATACACACATGAATAAAAATAATGAAATAATATTGGGGCTGGATAGATGGCTCAGTGGTTAAGAGCACAAGCTGCTCTTCCAGGGGTCCTAGGTTGGATCCCCAGCACACATGTAGCTAACAACCATTTATCATTCTGGGTTCAGGAGAATTAATATACTTCTGGTCTTTGTGGACACTGAACACATGTGGTGCACCACCATATGTGCAGGCAAAAAAAAAAAACCCATAAAAACAAAACAAACAAACAAAAAAACCACACACATAAAATGAAAAAAATCTTTTCAAATTAAAAATAATTTTTTTTAAATTAAAAAAAAAAGCTGTTGCTATTGTATTGTTCTACCCACCTGGGGCAGTAACCTAGTCTCAGTTCCTTGCAGGATTCACAGCTTCCTACCTCTTTCCTCAGACAGCCATTGCCCACACACTTACCCCAGGAGCCTCAAGAACCATTTGGAGGCCACAGTGCTCCACATGACAAGAATAAACGTCTTTGCTCTGAGAATCCGGGTCAACTGACACCCACATTTGATAGGTTCCATCCGCACTGGGAAGCACACCTCCATAATCCACTTGTTGGACAATTTCTTCCCCATTTTTCATCCACGTCATGGAAATTTCTGGTGGGTAGAAGCCATGAGCTCTGCAGAAGAGAGTTGTAGTCCCTGGCTAAGTTTCCTTCTTACTTGTTCTTACCACTGGAGGCTCTAGAGAGAAGTCGGCACAGATAAGTGGGGGTAGGGGGGTGGGGGAGTCTTGGGTACTGAACACACAGTATTCAAACACAGAACCAAGTGTGTGGGAGTTCATTTTCTTTGTTGCAAGAAATATCTAAAACTGAGAGTGAACCAGAACCCAGATTCAACAGCAAATTTGGATTTTGTAGACTTCCTGCTATGGAATAGGCAAGGGAACCCATGAAGCTGAACCATATTTTGTCCTCTATGGGGAGAAAAGACATATAGTATCAAGTATTTGAAGAGTGTATTAGAATTGTTAACTGTTCATCTTTGAAATACCCTTATGTGTCAAGGAAAAGGAAGTCACAACATGTGTAAATGATTATCTTGATAAGTAATCAAGATATTTCATCAAGAAATTGGAGATTGGAAGACAATAGATTCCAATTCTTTGTTAAATGACAATAAAACACACACAGCTAACTGGGGTTAGTGGGGGGTTCTGAATTGCATCGTACTATCAGATTGTAATCAGATACAAACACATGCCATAGCTCATGTGCCCTCAGAGAAGCTACAGAAATGAATATTACAGAAAGGCTGTAACAATGATGAGAGAGGGAGAGAGGGAGAGGACATCATCTCTATGTCCAAAGATGGCCTTGAGTTGCAGTCTTCCTACCTAAGCCTTCTGAATGTTGGGATGACAGGTATGTACCACCACCATGCCCTCCTCGGGGTTATCCATTGGTGAGCTTGCGTCCTCATGACTTCATACATTCATTTTCCATATGTTGCTGTCTTAACATTTCCAGCACAAACTGGTCATGGAGCCAAATCAAAATCAACCGCACTATCATCTGTGAGACTTACCTCCTCACCTCCACCGTATTGTCTGACATTGTGGACACAGGGGAGAGCCTTCATCTCAGATATGCCTCCCTTGTCTCTTCCCTGAGGCATGTAGCAACAGACTTTGCAACATTCAAAAGAAAATACTGCCAAGAGATTTTTTTTTTAATTTCACTTTATTTAGTATTTATTTATTTTTTACTATGCTTGCAAGAAATGATTCTACCTCCCAAGATATGAGTTTTGACCAAAGGCCGAGACACCACTATGACACTCAAGATAGGAAATGGGAACCACGTACACTTAAGTCAAACTTTCCACTTTCTTCCCACACAACTCAGGTTCCTCCTACTTGATCCAAAGAGCTTTTGAGCCAGGACGAATCAACAGAATTAGCTAGTGACTTCTAACCCTCAATCCTAGCGACTCTGATTGTGTTTTTCTATCTTTGCCCAGTACTGTACTCAGGACAAACATCAGGCCAGGTGACTCGGGGTAAATGCTCCTGGTGCGCTTTGAATATAAAATGTCCCTCACAGGCCTCAAGTGTTAAATCCTTGCTTTCTAGATGTTGGTGTTATTTTGGGAAGTTCTGGGAGGCAGGGCCTAGCTAAAGGAAGTAGGACCCTGTGAGGAATCCCTGGGGGCTGTTATCTTGCCTTTGTCCTTCTCTCTCCCTCTGCTTCCTGTCCACTGTGATGTAAACCGCTTCACCATGCCCTTCCCACCAGGATGGACCCAAACCTCTGAAATTGTGAGCAATTTTTCCTACTTTTAAGTTGTTTTATTCATTCTGTTATAATGATGAAAAAGATAATCAACACAGCTATGTGGCAGACATTCCCAAATCAGAAAGTAAACCCATATTTTCCCCTCTCCTATCTGATGAGACCCAGACTAACATATCTTAGTGGTTAAGGGTGGCCCAGATTGGTCATAGATTTCAACCATATTCAGTCAGGCGGCAGTAATATTTAACATATAAGCAAAGCCCAAAAGCTTAGCAAGCGTTTCATCTATATATTTTCACTAATTTCTATGAAGTAGACACTATTATACTATTTTACTTCACTTTTTCCTGTCAAATAGCTTCATTTTTTCCTGCTAAATAGCAGCTTCTTTTGAGACATGACTCTAACCCTCTATAACATGGGCTCTTATGAAGTATTTACCTTAACTCCTCCTCTTCAGCCATCACTCAAACAGGGTATGTCAGCTAGTGTCTCTTTGTGAGTCCCTAAATCTAGCCTCTGACCCTCTGCGGTTTGCCTAGGCCTTCATACTGTATCTCTAGAACTGCTCTGCCCCTGGTTTCCAGATGTACAGCCTCAGCCAAAGAGCAGCAAGTTGAGTACTGTCCCGGGCCACATTCTTTCACAGTCAGTCACCCCCTCTCATGGTAAAGATCCCCTTTCCACACATCAACTCCTGCTGGGCTCTGCTGGCTAGGTCTTCTCTTCCTGCCCTTCAGCTCATGCTGCTGCAATGGTATTCCTTATCACCCCTTCCTGGATCCCCAATAGACTTTTGTAAAGGATCCCTGTTGAATCTCCTCAGTTAGACCATGTTGGCTGTGCCATTAGTTCTTGGCAGAACTTTGTTGCCCAGTGAAAATCCTTGAAACTTGTTCTGATGGTCTCAGTGGTTAGCTAAAGAGGCCACATACAATCTGACTCAGACCAGTCACAGTTCTTTTGTGATTTATCTATTTAGGCAACAAGTACTCAGAGACAGCAGCAGCCTGACTTGTGGAATGGAGAAGCCATGAAGATGTGACATTTGTGCTGGTAGCTTCAACCCTCCCCCTGCCCCCATGGAGCATTCAATATTGGTTTTGGTTTCTTAGGTCCCCATGAAGTTCTGATTCTTGCTTTCAAGATCCTACTAGAAATGATCTTGTTTGGGCAGTGGTGACACACACCTTTAATCCCAGCACTCAGAGGCAGAGGAAGGTGAATCTCTGTGAGTTCAAGGCCAGCCTGACTTACAGAGTGAATTCCAGGACAGCCAGGACAGTTACACAGAGAAACCCTGTCTTGGGGGGAAAAATCAATTATTAAGAGGTAGAGAGATGGCTCAGAGGTTAAGAGTACTGATTGTTCTTCCAAAGGTCCTGAGTTCAATTCCCAGCAACCACATGGTGGCTCACAACTATCAATAATGAGACTTGGTGCCCTCTTTTGTTGTGATACACAACAGAACACTATATACATAATAAATAAACCCTTTATAAAAAAGGAAAGAAATGGGTTTGTTAATTGCAACCATAGAGCATATGATACTTATTCTGCAAGTAGGGAGGAAAGCCAACGTGAGGCTCTAATCATTGGCCTGCAAACCCTGTACATTTAGACGAACAACATATATTTACAACCATGGTCTAGACCCCTCCTCTCCATCCCGGGCTTGTCACAGCTCTGGAAAGTCCCTCTGGCAGGACATTACTCTTGTGGGAAAAGGTCTACAATGTTCAGGGATTTCCTGAAACATTTGAATCATCTCATCAAACACGAAACATTCTGCTGAAGTTGACTGGTAGGACCATGTATTTATGGCAGAAAATGAGCCATGCACCCAGGAGAATCTCGTGTTAATCCCCAAGTAAGGAAAAGCCAGTCTTCCTAAGCTCCTCTTCACAGACCAGCTTTCCCTCACACTGGGATTGTGTGAACCCTTGCTTCTTAAATAATTTGCAACAACTGTCCCATTCTCAAAAGCTTTTCCCACCCTCTCCCTGACAGGAGATGGAGGACTTTTCTTGATAGAGGTGCCCTTGGAGGCACTACCTTCTGTTAAGACAAGTGGCATTGCTAAGGCTTGTCAAGATGCTGCTAAAAATATAACTAATGAGAGTTCTCTTGGGGGTTTACAGGTCAGAACAATCCAACCAAGACATGGATTTCAACACAGGGTGAATATCCCTGCAGAGAGGAACTTAGATACAAAGAGTGTTTTTCTAGGGATGTGAGAACAAAGTTCTCTCTTCTCTTTACCTGTTCTTTCTGGAGTGTCTTTTCCATCTCCAAGAATCTTTTGGAGAGGGTGTCTTTATTGAAGATGATGAACTCTTGCCCACCATATGCATATTGGAGAAACCCTGCAGTGCTGCCATCTTCTAGCAACTTGCAGCCAATCATTTTTCTGATAAGTGTGAAATCCTGAAACACTGAAAGCAGAGACAGGAGGCTCCTCGGATGATGTAACTGGAGCATGTCTGGAAGACACCACCACACAGGTGGTTTGGGTTCCAGAAGGTTCATGTTTTTCAAACCCACCTACTAATAGACATTGATGGGATACTTATTCCAAGCCAAAGGGTCATGATGATGCCTGCTTTGGTGGAATCAAACTATCTTTGGAATGACTCATTGATAAATTTCCCAGCTATTCTGAATGTAGTATTGGAGCCAGAAATATCTCTGGGACAATTCATATAGTATGTTTCTATGCAGAAATAAGCAAATTAGGATGCCTAACCATCAGAAAATGAGACCTAAGATGGGCAAATTTAGAATGAGAAAGGAGAAAACTGTTGGATGCCAATGGGATAGGAATATGGGGACAAGGGATAATGGGATTTCATAGAAGGCCGGTGTGGAAGAGCCACAGGGAAGACGGTGGGGACTGAACTCCATCCACCTGATTTTCTGGGTTTTGCCAGGGACTACAGAGGATATGAGCAATATTGGCCACAGGCAGCCCAGGGCCTTTCTTCGTGGAGTAGCTAGCAGTGCCCATCTGCTGCAGTCACACCTGAGTGCTTGCAGGTGCTTCTGGAGTTGACTCAGCTCCATCTTGAATGTCTGCTGCCAGCTCCTCAGCAGCTGAGTGTACCTGTCCCACTGATCAGGTCCCAGGCTCTCCGCCATCCATGGAGCCCTTGGCTCCTTCTGTCTAGTGACACTGTCGTATGTAGTGTGATAGGATGTGAGTTCACATACCCAAGAGGTAAATTCATGGACTTCAGGGCCAGGTTCCGAAACAGCCAAACAGAAGTATCTCAGAGAATGAGTCCCTGAGGAGGAAGCAAAGAGAGGTGATGGGAATCACAGGTGACAGAAGATATTAACTGCATTCCACTGAATCCCCATACCAATGTCCTGGGACCATATTCAGTGGCATCCATCGCACTGCTTTCACAAAAACAATACAGTCCTAGGAATTACAATCTGGAAATCCTTCAGTCCTGTGATGGATGATGAAATTTACAGGTTCAACTTGTGAGCAATATGCAGTGTGATGCTCTGGTTTTGGATGAAGGTCCAAAAACCATTCATCAGACTGGAGAGCGGGGATAATGCCTGAAGCCTGAAGAATCTCTGAAGGAGCAAAGACCCTGACAACCCAACCCCCTTGCATTACCACTAAAGCCTCTGGATGATAACCGAGGACTCTCATCCTACCCCTTCTCTCTCTACACAAAGGGCTGCACACCCCTCCTCCTCCTGGATTAGATAGAGCTAGAACAGCTGGCCTTCTAAAATGACACTTCACTATACAGGGATGTGGCTGACAGATGTGAAGTCAGTAATTCAGAAGGGAAGACAGGGGAAGTCCACTCCCCTTCATAGAATGTCAGGCCTTGTAACAACTTGTACCTTACCAGAATATGTTGCCCAGATGTTCAAAGATTTAATATAACTATTAAGGTTGAATCATTTGAAAAGATTAACATTGTTCTACACAAATGGCTATTTTGTACCATTTTCTCTGATCCCTTTCTTTCTCCAATAATTATGAAATCAGGGTTGGTTCTAATGCTCAATCAGCATTAGTCACTTGAGCTGAAATCTATGGTCTAGAATTTGGCCCTTTGTCCAGATGGGCCAGTCAAACTGCTTCTCAGGGGACATTTGCTGCTTATTCACTTCTGCTAGGTATTGATGAAGAACCAATGCAAACCAACAAGCAGCTCTCATACCAGTGCTTGCTGCTTCACTGTCCTGAGCTTTGTCCCTTTAGCTTGATACAGTAGCACTTTGAGAAACATTAAGGAAAGTTACTGGATTACAAAACAATTGAACATGTGTTTTCAGGCATTCATCCATGGAGAAGAATTCTGCTTATTGAATATCTACCATGGACAAAATATAGGGCAAAGTAGAAAGAGAATAATGAATCAGATACCAGTTTTTCCCTCCAGGAATTAACAGTATAACTGGGAAACAAAAAGTTTATAACATAAACAAACGCAAGTGTTGAAACAGGGGCACCAATGGAATTCAGTAGAACAGGAAAGGAACTCTGTACTCACAGAAGTGGTCCATTGAGAAACCCTCCAAGGACCAGGCAGTAGTAGTGCACACCTTTAATTCCAGCACTTAGGAGGCAGAGGCAGGTGGATCTCTTGAGTTCGAGGCAGCCTGGTTTACAGAGTGAGTTCCAGGACACCCGGGGCTACACAGAGAAACTCCGTCTCAAAAAAACAAAAGAAAAACCAAATAAATACAAACAGAAATCTCCAAGGAGATGAAGGCAGATCAGGTGAACTTTCAATGAATCCTAAAGGACAGCAGGTACCTCCATCATAACTATTAGAATTAAATTTATTTGTCGAGCAAGTACCAAGTGTTTGGTATCATACTAATGAGAGACATTGGTTTCATTTGTTCCTCACAATAATTAAACAAAACAAAACAAAACATAGCATGGTCTTGTGTATCCCAGGCTGGCCTCAAACTCTCTATGTAGGCAAGGATGACCTTGAATTTCTGATTCTCCTACTTCTAGTTCCCAAGTTCTGGTGTTGGAGACATGAATCACAAAATCTGATTTTATGTGGCACTGGGGATTGAACCCAGGACTTGGCACAAGCTCAGCAAGTATCTATTGGGCTACCTATCCAGCCCTCCCGATAACCCTTTAAAGTAGATCCCATACTTCCCATTCCACAGATGGAAAGTGCAGAGAGATTAAGTACATTGTTCAGAATTCTGAGGTTGTCCTAATCTAAATTAAGTAAGGACAACCTCAGAAGCCACGATGAAAGAACCCTGAATCAAAATCTGATCTCTCATATAGGAAGCTTCTCTACCCATGACTACCCAACTCTGCTTGAGAGGCACTTCCCCAGTTCAAGACTGTACAGCCTTCTAGACTCTGGATTACCCTGCCCCCTTGTGTCAAACATGTTTCAGTCTCTGATTTTCCAGTCCTGAAGGCCCACATTCCATATCTTCCTCAGGTGGTATAGGTTCAGGTCAGATAATCATGTCAACAAAGATCGTTTTATTGTTACCCTGTTCAAGTAACCCAAATGCCTTAGTAAGGTAAAACTGATTCCTGATGACTACTCTTTGGGATTCCGGGTGTTATGGGAGTGAAGAGAGAAGTAGGTGGTTGTATTTTTAGTTAAAAGAGCTTGTGGACTCTTCTCAAAGTATACAGTAATGTTGAGGGCTCTACATTTAGCTGGAACCATTAATCCTTTTTCCAGGCAACTGTCAAGTGACAGGGTCTTATGGGAAGCCTAAAATGACAAATGTCACAGTCTGACTTCTTAACCACTGTCTTAATTACTTTTTTTGTCTCTTTGGAAAAATATGTGATAGAAATATAAGGAAGGAGAACTTACATTGGCTCACAGTATAAAGGGATACAGTCCATAATGGTGGGAAGAGAAGGTGGCTGGGTTCACTCTGGTCTGGGTTCCCTCATATCTGTCAGGGTCAGGAAGCAGAGGGCTCAGGCTAGAAGTGTGCTGGACTACAGCCCTTAAGTCCTAAGTGTAAGGCCTTACATCTGTTATGTAGGCTCTGCCAAAGGCTGCAGTCTTCTCAAGAGTGCTGCCAGATGAGCACTCAGTGCTTAAATATACAAGTTGGTTACGCATTTATATTCAGACTAAAGCATCGCACCCTGGCCCCAGAGGCTCATGGCCATTTCATAATGCAAGATGCATTTTACTACTGTAAAAAAGTCCCCAAAGTCCTAAGAGTTCCAACACTGATCAAGAGTCCAAAGTCTTGGGGCTGGAGAGATGGCTCAGTAGTTAAGAGCACTTGCTGCTCTTGCTGAGGACCCAAGTCTGGTCCCCAGTATCACAAGACAGTTCAAAACTGTAATTGTAATTCCAGGGGATTCAGTGCCCCTTTCTGGCCTCCCATGGACACAGCACACATGTGATACATACACAAACATGGAGACAATCATTCACCTATAAAATAAAATAAATATGTCTTTTAAGAAAAATCCAAAGTCTGAAAAGAAGTTTCCCAAGAATCAGGCAATCTTTTAACTGTGAACTTCTGTAAAACAACAACACAAACAAAACAAAACAAACAAAAAACCACAAATGTATTTTCAAAGTATGCCGGCATAATTATAGGTTTAAAGATGCTAGAGAAATGTCCAGAGACCTACAAGGATGACCCCAACAATATGAGTGATAGTGGAGAGGCTACCTTAAATGCCCTTCCCTGATAATGAGATTGATGACAACCTTATATGCCATCCTAACGCCTTCATCCAGTAGCTGATAGAAGCAGAAACAGACACCCACAGCTAAACACTGAGCTGAACTCCTGGAATCCAGTTGCAGAGAGGGAGGAGTGATGAGCAAAGGGGTCAAGACCAGGCTGGAGAAACCAACAGAGACAGCTGACCTGAACAAGGGGGAGCTCATGGACCCCAGACTGATAGCTAGGAAACCTGCATAGGACTGACCCAGACCCCCTGAATGTGGGTGTTAGTTAGGAGGATTAGGCAGTCTATGAGGTCTCTGGCACTGGACTAATATTTATCCCTAGTGTGTGAATGGACTTTAAAAGCCCATCCCACATAGAGGGATACTTTCTCAGGGCCTAGGCCCTGCTCCAAATGATATGACAGACTTTGAAGATCCCCCATGGAAGGCCTCACCCTCCCTGGGAAGCAGAAAGGGGAAGGGATGGGGGTTGGGGAGGACAGAAGAGGAGGGGAGGGTGAGGGAACTGGGAATACATTTGTGTTTCCTGGTAACTAGCCTTGAGATTTCAGGCATTGTGGGAAGGAGGAAGTAGATAGTTATTAGTTTTCAGTTCTCTGTCTAGTACCTAGGGGCTGTGGTAACGTCATTTGTGTTCCAGCAGGTTTGGGGAGTCCAACCTGTACAGCTCTTCTGTCAGCGGTATGCTTGGGCTCACTCTTGCCCATGGTGCTTACAACTTTCTAAAGTGGATGTTCTTCAGTCATTCAACATCCTGGGATCTTCATTGCATCTTAGGCTTTACCCTCACTGGTCCCATACATAGTCCACTCAGAAGCTCCGTGCAGGAATCCTCCCCTTCTACACAATGCCTAGCATCAGTGGCTTTCTAGGACCTTGGTGCAAGCCTCTTTAACCTGATTACTATTAAATTGTGCCTGCTTGCAAAGCCAGCACCACATGGATGCTGTTGCTAAGTTCTGCTACTAGCTTGAGATGTCTCCCTTTCAACATAGTTTTAGTGGCATCTAAGCACCTGCATAGCTGAACCTGAGAAAAGAACATAAATGGTCCTGTTGGAATGGGGTGGATGGAACCTTTGATGAGTGAGATCTTGCCTTCAAGAAATCTTACCATTTCTATTGGCCTTATGCAGAATGTGAGATTTTCTTTAATTGTGCTAATGCCTTTATTAACTATCCTAGCTTTTCCACGGTTGCTTTTAGCCACAACTGTACTTATGTCTCTTTACTTGTCAAAGTATACACTTTTCAAATATTTCTTCTCTACTTTGTGCTGTCTATCACTGTAAAATGGCTAAAAGCATGGGATAGTAACTGCCATAGTCTGAATGCTGTGCTGACTAGAAATTCTCTTCACCAACAAATTGGTATGTTACTTTTTAATTCAGCCTCATCTCGACTTTCAGGACACAGGAAGAACATAGATTCTTTGCCTGAATGTAACACAAATGTCCTCTAGTCCAATTCCTGATAAAGTCCTGTTGCTGTCTGAAACTCATAAGCAAATATCCCTTGTCCTCACTTATATCAGCATCTGGTCTTCCACATTCCTGCCAGAACATCCCATGAAGCTCTATTTAGAGTGTTCCAAGGTTCTGCTAGCCCACAGCTCCAAACCTTTTCATATTACTCTTTCACACCACTCCCAAAGCCCTACAAACTGCACAGCTAGGTCTAATGACTCCACCTCTGGTACCCATATTCTGTATGAGTACCTTTTCTCATTGCTTGATTGGCAGAAACAACTTAAGGCAGGAAGGGTTTATTTGTGTATCAGTTTAAGGGGATACAGTATAATACAGTAGAGGAGGCATGGCAGCTGGGATTATCTGGTTAGGGAGGGAGGACCTCCAGAACACTATTCACACACTATAAAGTCAGGAAGTACTGGGCTTGGGATAGAAGCAGGGTCAACTCTTATACCTACATTCTCAACTCTTGCCTCTACAGCAAGCTAAGTTCCATGTCCAAAAACTCTACAATATCCCAACAGTGCCACCATCTGGAAACCAAAGGTTCAAACACATAAGCCTGTGAGGAATACCTATTGAAACCATAATAGCTACTCTTTCATGGCTACTTATCTTAGTTAGGGTTTTTATTGCTTCTATGAAACACCATGACCCAAAAGCAAATTGGGGAGAAAAGGGTTTATTTGACTTACACTTCAGCATTGCTGTTCATCACTAAAGGAAGTCAGGACAGGAACTCAAGCAGGGCTGCATCTTGGAGGCAGGAGCTGATGCAGAGGCCATGGAGGGGTGCTGCTTACTGACTTGCTCCCCATGGTTTTTCTAAGCCTACTTTCTTATAGAACCCAGAACCACCTGTCCAGAGATTGGCACCACCCACCATGGGCTAGGCACTCCCCCATCGATCACTAAATGAGAAATGACTTATAGCTGGATCTCATGGAGGCATTTCCTCAACTAAGACTCCTTCCTCTCTGATGACTCTAGCTTGTGTCAAGTTGACACACAAAAACAGCTAGTATACTACCCTTTCAAAAGTCACCAAGATCTCATTTCACATAAGTATTATCCTCTGAGATAATTTCTAGAAGGGATATTGCCAATCAACAAATATATAATACAAGGTCAAATGGTAATAAATTATATAAAGAAAACTAAAGCAGAGAAAGGCAATGATGTGGAGAGGGTCAATATGTTAAAGGGAGTGGAAAAAGCTCCTATGACCAAATAATATTGAGCAGATATGTCATTAGTGAAGGAGGAGTACCTGGGCAAAGACCCTTCCAGACAGCTAAGCCTAAATCCTTGAGGGTGCATGTTTTCCATACTGGAGGATCACCACGAAGACTGCTGTCATGCTCTGTGGAGGGAAGGAATGAGTGAGATGATATGCTTTTTTCCTTCCATACACCCCTGGTACAATAATGACCACATGTCTTGTAGTTCCCATAAGAGTCTCAATTTATTATTATTATTATTGTTGTTGTTGTTGTTGTTATTATTATTATTGGTTTTTTATTATGTATTTATTTGTTTTTTCAAGACAGAGTTTCTCTGTGTAGACTTGACTGTCCTAGAACTCTTTCTGTAGACCAGACTGGCCTGGGACTCAGGGATTCACCTGCTCTTGCCTCAGGAATGCTGGAATTTAATCCCTGTGCCACCACTGCCTGGCTTATTGTTGTTTTTTGTTTGTTTGTTTGTTTTGTTTTGTTTTGTTTGAAACAGTTTCTCTGTGTAGCCCTGGCTGTCCTGGAACTTCCTCCAGAGATCAGGCTGGCCTTGACCTCACAGAAATCTGCCTCCTGAGTCCTGGGATTAAAGGCATATACCTGGTGAATCTTATTCTTCAAAGGATTCATTGAAGTTGTAATAAAATGTGATTTGACACATATATTCTTAAAAGATTGTCTCTAATATAAACTTAGATGTCAGAAATAATGTTCTTTGTCATCTATCTCAATTTGGGCTTCATAAAATAAAAGCATTTAAAGAATTATGTGTTTGATCTTTAATCTAGACCTCTTCCCTCCAATTTTCAGCAATCCTCTGGAGGAAGAGGACTGTGGTCAAGCAAGAATAGACAGCTGTTCTGTCTAGTTAAAAGAAAAATCTATAAAATAGTTGAATTTATCAAATTTAGATACATTCAATGTCACCTATGAAGAAGATGTCCTTAGGGCAGTGAAATATTGACTTGGAGAAATTTCTCCTGCATGGACCTGGGCAAGAACTCCATGGAAACAGACTGACATCAAGTAAGGTTTTTAGCAAATGACTATATTTTCTCATGTTAACTCTTTGTACTCAAGATTATTTCTAAGAAGATAGTCTACAAGCCTATCTTCTAACACTAACACAACTGGCTTATCTGTGACCAGTCCTTGTCTCTGAAGCATTCATAAAGTAGATTGCTGTAGCGGGCTGACACATCTATTAAATTATTAATAACATCAAGAGACTCACTGTGATTATATCAAAATGAAACACACATACCATACATGGCCATACGATGGAAATCCCATGCACGATGTCCCCAATTTGAGTGCAGCGACACACATCATCAGTTCAGTTTCACACCAGGTGAAGTGAAGAGCAAGAAGGGCTGGAAAAGCACAAAGCACTCACTTTTACATAAATTCTGCCACTACAGTAGACCGAGGTTTTAAACTCGAGGTCATTGTCATTGTCTAATCTCACTGTAACTCAGGCAGGTGATTTCAATGTTTCAGGAGTGTGATTTTGAAGTAGGAGGCCTTGCAGGAGCATTTACACGCCTGTTGGGAACTTGATAGGGTCACAGAAGCAAAAGGAAAATGGTGCTGTCTCTTCCTGCCTTTAAGGGGAACAGCTCAGGGAAGAGTCTGAGGAAAGAGACAAAGGACAAGGAAGAAACAGGGGCAGACACTTGTGGGCTATGCAGCTTAAGAGACTGACATGCTGGCAGTAAGAAGGGAATTATCTTAACATTTCTTCTGGTTTTTCTTCCCCATATCCTCTATTTATCTATAGCATAAAAGTATCTATTTATATGGGTAACACTGGGAGCAAATACCAAGTAGACCTTAAGCTATTTTCCATAAATCCGAAATCCCTTCATTGTCCTCAAAGCTCATTTAGTGAGAGTCACAACAGGAAACAGCCTTCACCAGATAGGTCCCATGGAGAGACAGTAATGAAGCAACTATAAAAAAACCACTTTCACCCCTAAGATCGAAGGGAAATGAACACTAAATAAGAGTTACTGAAGCCCATAAAACTGCAGAGAAGAAGGATTTTCAGGAAAAGGAAAACAAAACCAACCTACCTTGCAGAGAGCTATCACTACCGCCAGAGATTCAATGACCATCGAGGCACACTCCAATCTCTTCTCTCTGTGTTCTGGTCGCTCTCTAGTGTCTCCTACCAAGTGAACCAACACAGAAAACAATCTGCAAAATCAGCGCTATAGCCTGTGGCAGTCAGCCTCCAGAATGCAAGCAAGCAACAGGGCAGAAAGTCACCCAAGGAGTCAAAAGACAAACAGTGACAGCACAAAGTGACATCCCATCTTATAATTTCCCACCGAATATTCAGAAGTCCTGTGGCGTCACAGAAAAGGCCTGAACTGAAGGTGAAAGACCTTGATTGCTGTGTGAGCTCTGCCAATCTCCTTAAGCCAGAGAAAATACTTTATTGTCTTTATTGCGCTCTCTCTCTCTCTCTCTCTCTCTCTCTCTCTCTCTCTCTCTCTCTCTCTCTCACTTTCCCTTGCTTTCTTTTAGGTAGGGTGTCATGCTGCTCAAACTGGCCCCAAACTCACTGTGTCCCTCCCCCAAGCCTCTAGAGTAGCTAGGATTGCAAGTATGCATTACCAGCTCCAGCTGTTGTATTCCTCAGATCATCTAGCACATTCCAAGCTATCAACCACTATTTGTAGAGTTAATACACAGATGATTTGAAAGAGCTCCTTCCTGGCATGCCCATCAGTCAGCAGCTGAGGTAGTCTGGTCTGAGTTCTGGAACTCTCCAAACCTTTAGAAGCACCAGTACCAGTTAGAAAGCAGATGCTTAGGCAGAGAAAACAGGCAGCTGCTGGCAACACAAGCTCCATAAACTGCGAAGAAGTTTTGGGGTTTTGTTTATTTTTTAATTTTAACTTTTATTTATTTTTATGCACATTGGTGTTTTCCCTACATGTATGTCTATATGAGGGTGTTGGATCCCCTGGAACTGGAAGTACAGACCCTTGTG